CAAAGCAACCACACCCAGAACTAAATAGAAGGAAAGCAAGACTGAAATACATTTATTTCCAAAGTAACTGCTAAAACCTAAAAGATGTGAGAAAAGACATGTTACATAAAATTCCTTTAACAAATTGCAAGTATTGCATTTCATTTATTTACTTATTTATACATACATACCATTAATAAAAACTAAATTCACACAAAATTTTCTAAACTTAACAACGGGTTTCACTGTCAAGACAAGTTAAATGTGTGGAAAATGTATTTAATCGATGCATTTTCAGTGGTCTCTGGTAGGAATGAATGCCAGCTGTACTCGGGGTAAAAAAAAGCCCAGAATTGCTTGAATCAGCACAGCAACATGACTCTACCACTGACTTGCAACGTGAATGTTGTATCTTTACAAATTACACAAGCATGGGGGAGTTTTTCCTGTGTGGTGGTGTTGCTAGCTTCTACTATTCGGGATGTTGTCTGCTGTTTCCTGGATGCTAAACCAACAACAACCTTCCCCATCGTGAGTCAAGATGGGTGAGTCCATGGATGTTAAGTTACGGTATGACGTAGACCAGTCAGACTCTTCTAATCCTAGAGTTTCACCATCTATTTTCTATCAGAAGCTAATGCAGGAGATAGGTGTAAGATATTCAGCCTGCATGAAAAACTCGGTGACTGATTATAATCAGAAACATTCACAAAAAAATGGTTTTCCGGTCAACCACACCTTTAAATCTCAAATATTTCAGTTCTCCTGGCCAAGGCTTCCTATCACATTCTATCCAAGAATGCCAAACCAAAGCCACCAAATTAAAAAGAGGCTTAACATATATTTGGACACACCGCCAGCTCCAAGACATTCTGAGTGAAATCTGCTGTGCAGAAAAGAGCAAGGAACCATAAAAGACAATATCCCGCTTCACAGCGATGCAATAACCACTAATGCAAATTTATCCCATCTAAAAATAAAATGTGATTAAAAGCATTTTGGCCATTTCTGTCACAATAAACAGGCATTTTTAATTTGCATGGATCAACAGCTCTCAGCTGCTCAGCCATGATGCGTTTACCAGATCCTGAAATCCAAAACTGAAGCCCGTCTAGACATAAATCTCCTCCTACACAACCCACTTTAGCAGAACAATAACAAAGTCTTTGAACCGACACCAATGTGACACGTGATGTGGTCTCCGTTCAGCCTCAAGAGAATCAATTTCACAAAATAAAAACCATCATTATTGAATTTCTTGTCAAGCGCTACACATTCTACACACAAGTTCTTCAGTTTCACATCATACAGAGTCAAGGGGTAAGAAGTGGGGGAGGTGAAGGACAAAGGAAGTCCCGAGAAAAGGTCCTCAACTGTCTGCCTTGGAGGATTCAAGAAGCTTAATGAATTAGTTTTCCTCTTGACACCAGAAGATCCTTTAGGGATTTAGCAAGGGTTCCAATTTAATAAAGTCAGTCCCTCAGTTTTCCTTCAGGGCACAAAATGGAGAGGATGGATAACACATCTGTGGACAGTATTACAGCAAGTTTACAAAGAACTGGTGAATTACCAAGAGTTCATGTTGGTTAATTACTTTGAGTCATCATCATGCTGATGCACAACCTGAATATTACAGAAATGATCCAGGAAGTAGAGTTCATCATTATGATCAAAGATCTCAGCAGATTAGTTAAATGATGTAATTATAATAATGACCGATAAATCCTGCCCGTAGTCGAGACCGTAGTCGACTACATCTAGTTCTGTTTCCAAAGAGCCATCATGGAGGCAGTCGAACACACCGCGAGGGACTGAAAACATCTAGGTGGTCTTTATGAGGCTGCAGACACAAGTGGCTGAACAATGGTGGGAGTCAAAGGTAAACGGGGTGAAATGCAGACAAACTGGGAGGATTAATCAAACGTCGTAAGAGAACAACAGTTTCATTGTTGGCTCATGATTCAATCCAATTCAATTCAATTCTATTTTATTTATATAGCGCCAAATCACGACAAGAGTCATCTCAAGGCACTTCACATAATAAACATTCCAATCCAGGTCAGTTCATTAAGCCAATCAGAAAAAATGTTTCCTATATAAGGAACCCAGCAAATTGCATCAAGTCACTGACTAGTGTCCATCTAAATCTGAAACCGTGTCAATTAGACAGGTCAGTCGCAAACGTGTTTGGAATTTGACTTTTGGATGCCATTTTACTGCAAAAGAACACAATGTTTAACCATCCTTCTCAAAGAATACACGCTTAAATGATAACCGATAACTCTCAATGATAAAGTTATTAGGCATGAACAAAGTCCCAAAAACCTGCAAAAATTTCCTCCTGGTGAAGGTCCTTCATCTTTCCTGTCATCTCATCCTCCCCCGACTTTGTCAGTGATTGCTTACCCTTCTGTGGCTGATAGGAGCCAAGTCTGATAAGTCTTCTGAAGCAGCCTTGTGTAGGCTTATAACATCAAAGGCTAAACAATGGGATGGCTGTTTAAATAAGATGACCCAGAAGTGATTAACAGGATGGCCTGGATCAGAGCAACACTAAAAACAAACAACTGATGCTCTTCAACTGACTCCTGGAGATGTAAACAAAAAGACTAAATTATTTTTCTAAAACTAAGTCCTAAAAAAACTGCTTGACGATGTAAACTTGCACACTAGCCAGTCATGTTGGGTCACAATAACATCTGTCAACTCATTGGAATTTCAGGTTATTGTAAACACAGCTGACAAACTGTTCCTGCAAGCTAGTGAGTCATATTTAATCTGGATTATGTCACTTCACAAAGATAGCACCTTTTACAATCAACGGCTGAACAAAACTAGGAACTGACAGTATTCGGCTCTTGCTTCATGAAAACAGAAAAAAAAAACTTCAGGAAACCAAAAAAAGAAAAAAACAACACAAATTGACATTTTTCCTCGTTTGTTATTTTATATGATTGTGTGGAAGGCTACACTTAATATTTTAAAATGATCACACAACAGGAAAAAGTTGTGATGCCAGACAAAGTTTAGGTTTTTATCAGTTACTTGATTTTCCTTTTGAAAATAAATAAATCAAGACCTCACTGACCTAGAAACGTGTTTTTCTGGTGCACATTTGGACAAAGTCAGACCAACCTTGACTGAAAACCTTTTGGTGTGTGATCAGGATCCTAAACTCAAGTAAAGGTTTACATTTCAACAAGACCCATGCAAGAAACAGCAACACTAGTGGATTCCGATTTCAAACAATAAATGTTGTTTTTACTAATGGTTTTCCATCCAGTAGTGTTCAAATGGACTATTTCTACCAAAAGAGAAACATGCACGAAAAAGAGATGATGGTCTCGATTTCATTACATTACAAAACACTTCCACTCTAATTTTAGCTTTGCCACTTGGGCAAACATGTGAAGAAGATGGTCGCAAATAATTTGAAATACGCTTATATATATATATATATATATATATATATATATATATATATATATATATATATATATATATATATATATATATATATATATATATATATATATATATATATATATATATATATATATATGCAGGATGTTTAAGTTTTCAGCTCTAGATTTGTGATTAGATCACCGAACAGTTTGAACGCTTCGTGTGATAACTGTGAGCCCTATATCTAAACATGTTCAACTTCATTTTATCTTTCAGCCTCTAGTTTATTATTGATCACCAGATAAAAAAGGGAATAGTGGGATAACGGAAGCCGGTGTGTTCAGAAGATAAGATGTTAAGACTGGAAATGAGTTGAAACTTTTGTTTGCATGCATCACCTTCAGAACAGCTTTATTTGTCCTCAAAATAATTAAAGAATTTGTTCAAAATTAAACAAAGTAATCATCTTAGTTAATTATAATAAAGCTGTGGGCCGTAGCATGTCGCCATCAAGGAGAAATTAAGATTTTGACATTTGAAAGCTAGCTCCGACTCCCCTTCTGAAAGGAGCCGAAAGCCACGCCTTGTACCGCACACGCACATACTACTGGCCTTTAGCGCAAGCGGACGAGTAAAGTTTTTGACACATTCCTGCTCAGACACACCTAACTGCTGAATTATCTCCTCAGCCTTCATTGAGTTCTGCAGGAGCTGCTAATCAATGGTTTTAGTTTGAGTTTAAGCAGGGAAATGTCTAAAACCAGCAAAACTCTGGTTCGTGCTATGCTAACACATACCCGTGCTACTGCCACAACAAGCAAAAACAATAGTAAGATGCAGCGTAACGTTGAAAGCTATGTTAATCACTTAGCCCCAATGCACAAAAGATAAATCCCTGTTTGTCACCCGTCTCCTCTTTTACAGTTAGCTTGATGTTTACAGACTGACTTTAATTCAATGCAGGCCGAGTTAGCATTCAAGCTAGGTTGGTGCACTATGCTGACTGTGCATCACTGCACCACACCGTAGTGCACGCTGGGAACTGGGCCACTTTCTCGTTGATTGACAGCTCTCTTGTGGATACACAGCTTTATTTGTCAACGCTTTAGGCTAATGTAAATGATTTATTTTGTTATTGAGGCCAGGAGAGAGACTTAGGGCTCTCATACATTATGAAAGATTACCTACTTTATCATAGAACAGGGTCAGATTGTCACTTTAAAGCGCTTTAAGTTAATCTAAAAACTTAAACTATGTACCACAGTTTAAGAAGATCAAACTAGCCAAAGCTAGTGTGCACAAGCAGATTTTAGACATAAATAAATTAGCGCTAGACGTTAACTATGGGGAGGAGACAGATTACCACATCACTGTTTTACATTCCTGGTGTCTCTTCAGATTTATGGAGCCTGGATGAAGGTCATAAAACCACATCACACACATCCACATCTGTAAGTGTATTTCTGTTTATACAGTCTTAAAAGAACATATGTTCTTGAGGACACTTTAAATTACCTCTGTAAACTGAGGGAATCTGATCTGACAAACTGTCAGGTTTTTTTCACTATTAAAACTTTTAGAAATGTCTTTTGATCAGGTTAAAAATAAACTCTTACCTGATAGTAGGCTTTGATCTGCCTGATAAGGATAGACAGGTTCTGGATACGTAGTGTGGGGTCATTGTTCACCTTCTTGTTGGTCCTCTGCACGGTGGCTTTAGGGTTTCTGCAATGAGAAAATACAATTAATAACAAAATTAACAGCAGTAGGAGATTTAAAAAATTCTAATGCAAATCCTTTTATTTTCCACTAGGGTGTCACTTAGCCTAAATAAAATAATGTGTCCCCTGAAATATTTGCAGCACAACATTAGATAACCGAATTATATGATTATACAACCAATTATTATATTTCACCCCTCACTATTTACTAAAAGCATAACTGTACTCAATTTGTTACATTTATTTCACAGTAATCATACAGGCAGAAATGACCTGTTAAATGCTAAAAACAATTACTTTATGTAATGTCTACTATCATAATGATACTATTTTTAAGTTTTTCAGCTTCTAAAACCAAACAGGTTATAAAAAATGAGTCATTGTGATGTCACAAAGTAGAAAAGGTATAAAAAAGCATTCATAATATCCAATACAGCATGCTTTGTCTCTTTTATATAATTCTCTTAACCATGAAGTAATGAATTTAGAATAAAAACTAAGATTTTTTTCTCTTGACTTATCTTGCTGCTAGATAAGTCTCATCTCCACTCATGTGTGTGACACAATCCTTTCTAGAGTAACTGAACAGTTTTTGCCTAGACGTTCTCAGACAACAAGCGTTAAGACATCATGGAATGATTGAAATTTAAATCCTTTAAATAAAATGTAAAATAATAAGTTTTGCCAGAACTTTACTTCTCACATGAACAGAAATTTCTGTTTGCAGCTTGCTCTGACTCACTGGTGAGGATATGTTTTGACAATCCTTCGTTCTTTAGCTCCTTTCTTAAAATAATAAATAAATAATGTTCCATGTCCCATGTTTCCAAACAGCATGAGATCCCTGTAATTATTTTATGTAATTTATCCTGAATTTTTTCAAGAAAAACAAACTCCTGTACTCCAAATCAACCAGAAAAAAAGCTCTGGCGCATCATTTCCAGGAACTAGAAGTGAGCCACATGACAGCTGAGCTTCAGACAGCAGGTTTTGGGGTCTTGTTTGCTGATATTTGGACATCTCGCCTGAGATTGGATAAGAGTAACGCGACTAACACTGACTCCATTTTTGTTGCAACATTGATGTTTTATCTACACAAATAACACAGGTCTGAAGGAAATCTGCTGTGTGGTGGAGTTGCTAATGCTAACAGTTAGCTTCTACTAGCCAAGATGTTCTCTGCGGTTTCCTGAACGCTAAACCAACAACAGCCTTCACTGGTGTGAGCCAAGATGGGTGAATCCATGATTGTTCTGTGACAGTGTGACATAGATCTGTGAGGATTTTCAAATCCTAGAGTTTTCACCATCTATTTACTATCAGAAGATAATGCATGAGATAGATGTAGGAGACTATTTTCATGCGCAGCCTCCATGAAAAACTACAGTGACCGATTATAATTAAAAATAATTACATTTTTTTTCAGTTAACCACACTTTTTAACAGTAAACTACTTTTTCCCCTTTTTGTGTGAAATGAACTTTAAGGTGAAATTCATACAGCTGATGACCTATTTGTGGGGTCAAGAGAAGATGCCCTCCTCGTCCAACAGGAGGAGGAGGAGTTAAGAGTGTTTATGAATGCATGTGTGTGTGTGTGTGTGTGTGTGTGTGTGTGTGTGTGTGTGTGTGTGTGTGTGTGTGTGTGTGTGTGTGTGTGTGTGTGTGTGTGTGTGTGCACTGTATCTGTATCTTAATCTTAAGATTTAAAAACCGTTAATTACAACAAACTTCTGCAGAAACCTGAAACACCAAATATTTTTAAAGACAAAAGCTTTTTAGTAAAGATTGGGAGAATTGCCGTCTTTTTACTAAAGTCAGCAGGTTTCGTCGGGAGGTTTTCATTAATCTTTTGATGAGCCGCCAACCTACCACATGCACACACACACACACATATATGCTAATCAGGAGGACACAGGGATCTTTTAATGCTGGTCTAAATGAACAGTCATGTGACCTCTCTGTCTCTGTGCGTGCACACGCACACGCACACACACACACACACACACACACACACACACACACACACACACACACACACACACACACACACACACACACACACACACACACACACACACACACACACACACACACACACACACACACACACACACACACACACACACACACACACACACACACACACACACACACACACACACACACACACACACACACACACACACACACACACACACACACACACACACACACACACACGAGACCCATTGTGGGGGGTCTATTTAACCAATTAATTATAAAGCACAAAGGCGGCTGTAATCCTATCAGGACGAGAGGGGTAATGTGGCATATAAGGTGTGGGAGAGAATAATAGCAGTGCATCTTTTCCATTTATAATTTGCATCATCATCACTATCAGATGAGAACATGGGGACCGCAGAAACAGAACCAAACACAAGCAGCCTGACGCTCTTGTGGATTCACAAACGCTTAAAACAGTAAAAGCTGTAAAAGCTACACTTATTAACTCCCGACTTTAACTCGCTGCTGCAGTAAACCCGACATTTTAAATGCACAAAAGATTAGGGATAAACAGACATCTAGTGAGCAAGATGGACAGACGGCCAGTCAATAAGCCGGTCCATCGGTGCCGTCGATTGGCACTGCGGCCTTCAAGCCTGAGGGACACTGGGCTTGCTCCTCCCACTTCCCGCCTTTGATTAGCTGAGTGGGTTATGGAGCAGTGTTAACCCATATATGACAGGTTAGATTACACTCAACTTGGGCAGTCAGGCACATACCCATGCACAGACATGCTGGAAGCAGCCTGAATGCGCACACACAAAGAGAAAAATGCAGGCTGCATTTGGCCACGTGCTGGAGACGGGAGATTAAAGCTGTACCGTCCAAAACACAGCAGGCCAGAGTGTGTTACCCACCTCCGTGTGCGCAAGACGACACAAACAGAGGCGAGCAATTTTACTGGGGCGAGCCCTAATTAGGAGTTTGGAATAACGGGTTTAATTCAGACAATTAAAACTGCCTCCTAATTATTAACCAAAAACACACCGAAAGTTTGGTTATTTTAAATCATGTTAATTAATATCTGAATTTTTAAACACACCAAACATAATGAATTTAGTCTCAGAGTTGAAAAGTCTGAAAAATATAAGACTAAATAATGTAGTTAATCTCTATAGAATATTTTTGTATAGAATTTAGTTTGTTGAATGAATGTTCTGCACGGGTTGTGTGTGTGTGTGTGTGTGTGTGTGTGTGTGTGTGTGTGTGTGTGTGTGTGTGTGTGTGTGTGTGTGTGTGTGTGTGTGTGTGTGTGTGTGTGTGTGTGTGTGTGTGTGTGTGTGTGTTGCTAAAGCCCACATTAAAAATAATAAAGCAGAGAAGACAGAAATGTGATGAAAAATCCTAAAACAAGTTCCCATCACCCCTTTTCCCTCACTTCTCTCCCATTTTCCCCTTTTCAGTTGCCACAGGGCCACGTCCCATTCCTCAACTCTGCCACTGCTGACACTTAAATTGAAAGAACTTGAATCACAATCCATGCACTTTGATTAATTTCTTTATTAAATTGACATAATCCTGCTTCAGTTCCGAATCTGCAGCCTAGAGTTCCTCTCTAACCTTGTTCCAACGATTGTTACTGCTCTGCTGGCAGTTCTCAATGTTAAGATGGAGTTAATGGACCACAATAATTCCTGCTGATGTTTCACAGCAAATGTCTTGGAGGCTGCAGAGGGGATTATTACCCCCCAGGCTGTTGAAAGGCCAGAAACAGATGGACTAAGTGTTGAGTTTGCAATGACAGCAAAACAACACCAGCAAATTAATGTGGATAGTGGAAGCAGACAAAACTAAAGCCTGAAAGTGAAGAAATAAATGCTAATATTTTCATACTTTCATACATCTTTAATAGTGTTTGGCAGCAGGTCCTTCATAATGACAAAAAAAACAACAACTAAAATTTGATTTTTTAAAGCTGGACATCAATTTAGATAGGACATTTAAAGTGTCTCCCAGCAGCCATGTTAAAAATGTACTTTAAGTGTCACAGCTGCAGGTTCCTGCCAGACGTGACACACGTCCTGTTGCCACAGAGAGCCTGGCAGGGCACAAAGATGATTACGAGAGCTAGAAGATTAACGTCTGCCCTCACGCTCTGACATACAGCGCCCCACCCCTCCATTCAGGCAGCAGCATCAAAAAGACCGACAACCCAGCTGAGCTACCTGCCCCTCTCCTCCAGCTCTGCAGGAATCTAAATATGCCCGCGACCAAAGACTTAACATGCTGCTCAGGATAAAAACTAATGGAGAGCAGAGACATATGATCAGACAAATTTAGACTGATTTCCATTAATGCATGGATCTGTCTGATCTGCACCAACCTCAAAGTGTTCCAGTGTTCCAAAAACAAGTTAAACATTTACGTATCATTTTTTTTCCCTCCCATCTGTATAATAATTCCCAACAGCCTGCAGTAGAGCTCAACTGGACAGTTGTTTGGGACTGAATTTCATCGGCTTTTCTTGCTGAAGGGGAAAGCTAATTGGTTTGACGGCAGTAGGAAGGGAATCTAATTGGCTGGATCATGTCAGTCACATGAGGGGCACAGGGAGGGGGCATGGTGCCATCTGGGTGTCTGTCAGCGAACCGTTGGATATCCCAGGGTCTCTCCCATGTTGTCCTCATGACAACTGCTACCAGTCGGTCTGCCATGTCTCCTGCAGTGACAGACGTTCAGCTCTACAACTGATATTACCAATAAATCATTAAAAAGGCTACATTTCTTTAGCTGTAGGATAACCGTTCTGTTTAGCACTATATTGTACACACATGTTGACTTTTTACTTGACTTTCAACTAATACTCAACGTGTAAATAAACACTATCAAGTTCACTGTTACTTTTAAGCAACTTTTAATAAAAAGGGAAGGAGAAAGCCTCGGGAAGCTCCTATGTCTTGTTTTGCTTCGCTTCTGTCTCTTTAAAAGTTAGAGAATAGTTTAAAGATATAGCATTGTTTGAACAAATGCACAGTACCTGAGCTTTTCATGCTTTAAAACTAAGGAATGGTAGAGTTAAAGTCCTTTGGGTCAAGAGCTGAAAATAAGAATAGGCCCAACACCATGAAATGTCCTGAGATCTGTGTTGCAAACGACACAGCGACAACGTCAATGATCAAGTCAAGTCATTTTATTTGTAGAGCATATTTATGCACCCATCTGGGAGACCACAGAAAAATAATAAAAGTTTTCAATCTTGACATAAAAGATGTGAAACAGCCTGTCTAATATTCAGGGGCAGGGCATTCCACAAAGTTGGAGCCATACTGGAAAATGCACGATGCCCCCGAGATTTCAGCTCATCTGAAGAGATGACCGGTAAATTCTGATGAGCTGACCAAAGCGATCGAGATGGGATATAGTCCTTAAGCATGCCTCTCGCATACATGGAGGTAATGTTGCGGAAGGATTATATGCAAGAAGTTAGATTTTAATGTAATTTCTGTATCAGACTGGAAGCCAGAGGAGCAATGCCAAAACTGGGGTAACATGTTCCCGCCTTGATGTACCTGTCAGTAAACATTCTGCGCTGTTCTGGACCCTTTAGAGTCTAGCAATAGCCTTCTGACCCATACCAGCATAGACAGAATTACAGTAGTCTAGCCTAGAGATGATGAAGGCACGCAGAGCAGTTCATGGTCTGTAAAACTGAGTTTTACCAACAATTAACTGTAACGGCCATCTTGAATTGGGTTGACTAATAGGGTTTGTCAGAATCCAGGGGCTACATCCTTCCAAGTATGCATTGTGAGGCTGATTACATCACAGCAAAGTGATAAAACTGCCCAGAATTGAAGGATACTCAAAATGCATCTTCAAATGTGTCCTCATGTCCCCTGAACTTCAAGGACAAGTCTGATGTATAGTCATTGGCAAAGATTATCCCAGGATATGTTGTGGGCCAAACTGGTGATTTTTGTTCTTGTAATGCAAGGATTACAGTTTTAAATGTTAGTGTAGTAAAATCTGGCAGTACAAAATCATAAAAGGTGTGTTCTTAGTTTTTTTATTTGTATATTTGTTCAAGTTAAAAAAAAAAAAAAAGAAAATACTCGTAAACAAGCACGTATGACAGGTCTTGTATTTCGTCAATATTACCGCTGAGCTTAGCTTTTACTACTATATAGACCCAATCCCAATACCCACACTGTAGCGTACCGTTCGATATTAACCCTCTCACGTTCAAAATTAGTTTTGATAAAAGGACGAACAACTAAGTCCTTCAGGGGTACTTCTGAGTTAAAAAATGCTCATGAAGTACATATGTGGAGTAACCAGGTAGGTAGGTTTTAACGTTGCAAATCTGCAACGCCTGCCTCCAGAGGGTTAAGTGCACTTGGTGGAAGTGCTCATCGAGGGTGTAGTAAACAAGTTCGCAAAACTGGGACAGTGAGGATTGCGTCGTTGACCACATTACTGCGTCGCATTTTCACGACTTCCAAAATAGCGATGCCAGCCGCTGTTTGTGCCAATTCAAAACAGTGAAACTATATTAAAACTGTAATTTTCCCAGGCGGTCATTTTCTGACCTAAATTTTTTTTTATGTATTTTTGTCTCAGAATTGACACACAGCAACCGATTGTGGGTAATACAAGTCTTCATCAGTGCAGACTTTAACAAAGTGCAGAGCAAAGCTGCATAAAGGGGTGGGGCCAAGATCCACTGTGGAGAATTAGGACACCCTTTGCATTTGCACCAGGGGCACCAGAGTGGAAGTGTGAGTATTGGGACAGGGTCTTAGCGCCATCACGGTTGCTAGGCAAAAAGACATTATGCTGCAGTGGGGACGGCAATAAATATTAAAGCTAGACCAAATTCACAGCCGCTCAATTCAAGTCTTGGTGATCGAGGAAGGTCTTGACCTATGTGGACTGTGTAGACGAGGACCAACAAGAAGTCTACCCCTGGATTCAATAGTCAGTTGTAGATGCTCATTCACTGATCACTTTTTGTGAGTTTCAATTAAAACCCATCCAGTGAATCATGACATTTTGCTAAAGAACAGACAAAAACATTGTCTGCACTTCACCTGTCAGCAGCAGGGGATGAAAATGTCTCAGCAGCAGATGTAGATGTGTAAACAAATGATATATCCGTCACTGAGACCCATTTCTCATTAAGTGAGAAAACAGACAAAGACCAGTGACACAAACACAAGCTCTGACCAGTACTGTAGTGCTTTGTGTGTGGGAGGGTGGCTGGGCTAGACGACTACCAACAGCTGCCTCAGTCCATAACCAAATGTGCAAGGAAAAAAAAATCCACAAACACACATACTCCCACACACACTCAAAAGCCTCGGAGATATCCATGCACAGAAGCACAGTGTTGGCTGTGACTACCAATCCCCAACATCCTGTCAGACAAACCACGGTTCATTTCAGTTCACTTCTAGCCACCTTTTAAGCACCACTGCACATAAGCACAGAGATCCTACAGCGTATCTGGGTAGCACATATTCATTTGTAAACCCCAGACTTGTCTTTTTCATGTCAAAGGTTATTGTCCTTCGGTTTTTCCATCTTGCTTCATTCTCCAACCCTTCCCCCATATCCTTCCAGTTGCTTACCCATTACCCAATGTTCCACTGGGGAAAATGCACTGGAAATACAGTTTTTACTCTTTCACACAGAGTAAACGAGGAAAGCTCTAAACCTAAAAACTGCTTTCCTAAACATGATTCTATTTGGAGCCGGCGAGAGACTAGAAGCACTCAGGAGTAGAACCAAATCACTGGAGAGGGAGATGGAAGAGGTTGTTGAAACTTGAGGCAGCTTATAGCAAACGGACAATCGGAGAGCTCAAAACAAGTGTCCTCTTAATTGTCCTGTCAAGTTATTATTGCTATAAATGTGACTTGTTACAATAATAAGCATGTTTTTTGTACGTAAACTGTTCTCACTCTTTAAAAAGGCATAAGATCAATCAACTATATGTTCTACAAATACATTAGATCTGAGGTTGTCTCAGCTCAAACCAATGGGAGGAAACACGAGATGTGCTGCACATAAATCCCTTTTAAACCTATTCATCAGGGAGCAGGCAAAACTGAATGCTCCTTAAACTGGCAAGCAGGGGAAAAGCTGACAGGAGAGTCTGGCATTAGTGGAAATATGGAAAAAAAAATGTATTTTAACAGATCATGCTGGCAGGAAGTGGCAACCTGCAGCCAGACAAAGAAGTAGAAATCTTTCTCCTGTCATGCCACATATAGAAACGGTCTCAGGAAAGAGACAAATTCGACATGCAGTCCTTCACAAATCCAGCACTGTCAGTAGATCTTACAAATAAGCTACATTTTCTTTAATTAGATAAAAATAAAACGTGCTCTTGTTTCCCTGCACCATCCAAGTTAAAATTTTCATGCATGGTGTGTGTGCTGGGAAGAGTGTTTCTCCTTAGGATTAATCAACAACACAGCAGGGTGCAGCTTCAAGGGAATGAGTTTTCTGCTGAGGCATGCTGCATCCATGCAGCTGACACCGGTGTACACAAGCTCAAAAGACATCTTAAGTGTTAATATATCTGACCCACTCCCACCAACACAGGGTCCTCTTTGTGAGCAGCCTCCATTCAGCTCAACTGGACAGAGGCTGCTGTCTCGTGTAAGGATGACCATCATTTCAACCCTCCTCCACTATAATAACAATAAAACATGGACTGTAGGTTGTTGCACATCTCTGGTTTGATGTCTGCATGCCCTCAATTGGCTAATTCCGTGCCTCTATGTAGGCCAGCTCAGAGGACTGACCGGTTCGGCTCTCCAACTCTCAGATTTACTTACATCTCCAGCATGAACTCGTTCAGGTAAATCCCATCCACTAATTCCATATATTCCGATAATTTACTGCCATCGCTCACTGTCGACCGCCCGACGGTCTTCACCTGGAAAAAGAAAGGAGTGCGATCAATTAACAGGCGAAATAAGGTGATTGTTTAATGAGTCAACACTCATTAGCATATTTAATTAGGGTGCTTACCCAGCAGACAAGAGGGGTGAGCATGAACTCCTCCAGTAATGGGGTGAAAACCTCGTTCTCCATATTTAACCTTCAGCCGTTTGTTCAAACAAATTGGGATTTTTAAAAAATGATTTAAACTCCTCTCATGTTGATAATTCCACGTTTTAATCCAGGCTTTACTTTACGAGGATTTAAAAAAAAATAATAATCACTAATTTTCTCAAACCGACCCAGCTGTTGGAGGTGCTGCCGACGAGACTTCTTCCTGGGTGGGAGAAGAAGAAATCACATTTTTGTGCTCAAAAACCGCATTCCCTTAAGGTTTTCTGTTATTTAAGGATCAGTCCGCGTTGCGTTCAATATTTAAACGACGAAAAGAGATGAGAAATAATCCTAATTCGGGTATGTAAAAGAAGGTCCAGCTGCGAGGGAAAAATAAACAGATGTTGCAAATCCAGCTTCGGAAATGATCGGGTTCCACCTCATAGTTTTTTGTTGTTGTTGTTTTTTTAAATAAAGTGACTTCCAGACGCGGATTCCTGGCTGTCTGCGTCCAAACGCCGCACACCACCGAGCTGCTGCTGGAGAGTTGAGAGGATGACTGGAGGACACGTAGAGCCGCGCCTCCCTCCCTGCGCATCTCCCTCCTCCTCCCAAAGAAAAGTAGGGCATTAATCAAAGCGTTCCCTTTCTCCTCTGATTTCCTCTGAGTCATAGAAAAAAGATCTTAGTCAACATGTGAACAAACAAATAAAATAAATTCACTCATGTTTGAGTGCGAGTAATGGAACCACTTTGTCTCAAAAGAAAAGTGAATGAAAACTCCAATCTTGTGATTCATAACCTCAGTGTGTAATACTGACTATTTAAGTGCTTATTTGGTTTAACTTCCACGCAGAAATGCAGGGTAACAGTGCATAAATGCACTTCCTTTGTCTGCCTCTGCAGCATGCATTAGACATCATAATGGAGGTAAAATACTGACACCTGGTGGGTTATGTCACAGATCACTATATAAACATCTAAAAAAAAAAAGGTTGAAAATATTCAGATCCTTAGAAGGGGTCTGTGGGGATGTTGAATAATGCATTTCCTGTTCCAGATAGTTCTTTAACAACCTCAGTTTGGGGAAATAGAGAATGAGGCCCAATCCCAATACTCGCACTGTGCCCTTCTGTGAAGTGTGCTTGGAAGAAGTGCACAGCAAGGCTTCGAGTGTGTGGTGCACAAGTGTGCAAATGATTGCAGAATTTGGACAGGAAGCACTGTGTCATCAACCGTCTGCTGGTCACTGTGCTACTTAAAAAAAACTTCATTAACTCATTAACTGCCATTGACGACAAAAGTTTTAAATCCAACTGCCAGTGACGACTAAAGTCATCATTTGCATTTTTTTACTGTGTGGGCGTAGGAATGAGCCCCCGCAACGTGAAAACAAACATCTCAGCTCGCTGATCTTCATCTGTGTATGTCACACATCACATGATCAGGAATTAGAAAATCCATGTGTTAGGAGATCTTTTTGGGCCGCTGCTGTAAAGAAAAAGGCACGAACCGTAAAAGCTTCACAATTCAACAACGGATTATGAAAGAACGAACAGCGCTCGAAACACGCAGATTCATCCTGATGTAAGAAGTGAGTCTACTCTTTGTTTTGGTAGTTTTGACGTTGACATCACCCTAGTGCGCAACGTTCTATGACTCTTAAAAATACAGTGAAAATGCTGAAAAACGCCGGCAGCAACGGGCTTTTCTGATCAGGAAACGGGAGGCAATGAATGAGTGAACCAAACAAATATTTGACAAAATTTACATTCATTGCTATCCACATTAAATCTTTGTCTAAAACATTCAGAGCATCAATTAATCGTCCTAAAATGAACGACTTTCCTAATAAAATACATGTTTTCAGAAAAGGCATTTGAGCCTTTGCTCCCACAGCAATGGATTGTGGGTAATTGAGAATCGGGGCACCCTACGCACTCACACCCCTGGCTGGGATTGTGCAATTGAAGGGCACAAGTGTGGAAGTGCGAATATTGGGATTAGGCCTAGCACATGAAGATGTTCTGGTCAGCCATTTTTCAGAGCACATTTTAGTCCCTAGATCAGGGGTATTCAATTCCAGGCCCAGAAAGCCGGTAGCCGCACGTTTCAGTTGTTCCTCTGCTCCAACACACTTGATTCAGTGGTTGAGTCAACTGTGCAGCAGCTCATCAGGCTCTGCAGAAGCCTGTTGATCACTCGCTGATTGAAATCAGGTGTGTTGAAGCAGGGTTAAAACTAAAATGTGCTGGATACCGGCCCTCCAGGTCCATAATTAAATACCCCTGCCCAAAATGGTACTAAAGCATTTGTCAAGCCTCCCAAATAAAACACCATGGTTGCTCCATAACCTGAGGGTTGCGGGTTCAAGCTCAGCTTAGTCTGTCGCAGTCGTTGTGTCCTTGGGCAAGACACTTCACTGCATTTGGCAGTCTTCTCTCCTGTCAGTGTTCCCCAGGGCAGCTGGAACATGTGACTCCTACTATTTAATAAAAAAAAGTAACGCATAAAAACACTTGGAGTGAATAAGATAACTCACTGGTGAACAAATTAAACTGAAGACTGAGTTTGTGTTTATTGAATAAACTCCTATAACAGGAAGTCCCAGTCATGCAGATGCTAAATACAGATTTTAAGACAACACCAGCAGAAAGGTCATGTGATCTAATTAATAAATGGCTATTGCTGGAGCAGTGATCATGTGGTCAAATAACCTATTAAAATGTAATGACTGGTTCAGATATGAGAAATAAAGAATTGCTCTGGAATCTGATCAGAAATAAAGAATAAGGATTTGGATGGAACTTTAAAATACTTTCAGCAATCCGTGTTTGTAAAGTAATGGTTTATTACCATTTTTAATCAGGCTAATGGGTGCTGTTGTTAGTGCTTTTTAGAGCATTTAGCAGACTCGTTGTTTTTTGAGAATCAAGAGAATTGATCTGACATATCAGAAAGTTATATGCTCATGTTTATAAGGTTTATGTAAATTAGTAATTTATTTCAAACCTTTTCTGAAGAAACCCATGCTCTTTTCTTCTAACCCCATCATCTCAGCAGACCACTAAACCCTGACGCACATAATGAAAATCTTTTATGGCTGCTTCCCCACACACAGCAGCCTGAACGTGACCATTTTCTGCTCTGCCACTGTTGAGACATTGTTTGAGTTTCCCTTAAGCTTGGGTTGTTTCTGATTGTGTGTTAGCATTTATGTGCATTGGTGGAGTTTATTGCCCTTGAACTGAACGGGGGTGTTCATTCCTTCCTCATTAGTATCTGGGATTCATGCTGCCATTTGGGAGTTTTGTCACAAAGCGGCACTGACTTTTACCTGATGACTCAGTTAGTTGGCATTCTTTATTATTATAACCACAGTAATACTCATAGAAAGGCATTCTCTTCTCCTATATGTTAAGTTTGTCAATTAAAACTATTATTTCTGAGGCATCACTCACTGAGGAACCAGATTACCACAAAGTCCTGCAGACAGTTTCACAAAAATGTGCGATTTATCACAAACATTTCTATTTGTGGTTCAAACTAGAACAGAAATTTCTTCTGAAAATTCAGCCCACAAAACGCTTCCTTAAAGTCGTGTATGTTTTTCTGGTTGTGTAAAATTCCATACAACAAGAATGCACAGTCACAATTCTTGTGTTACTGCAGGAAAACCATTCAGCCCAGGAAAAAATTGACTGGTCCTTTACACAGTTTAATATCCCACTGCTCTGCTTGATTCAAATAAGTTGTTAGTGTCCCTGGGAAAAAAGAGACAATACTGCGACAGCTCTTGGTAATAATAGGAATGAGAGGTTGTGTGCTTCAAACTCAGTGTGCAAGTGAAGCCGTGCTGTTTTCCTCTGCAATTAGCTGCCAAATGTGTGTGTGTGTGTGTGTGTGTGTGTGTGTGTGTGTGTGTGTGTGTGTGTGTGTGTGTGTGTGTTCCACTTAGAGCTAGGAATCGGATGCTGTTAATACTCATCTGTTGTCATAACAACTGCTGGAAGCCCACTGTTAGAGGGATTGCTCCGTGACTGGAGGTTGTTTGCTGGAAAATTAACTTCCAGAATGGGTGAAAATTTTCAAGGGAAGCTCACTGAAAAGCTGACAGACACACTGAGAAACAGTTCCTTGCTGATATCTCAAAGCTAACAGCAATTGAGATTGTAATATCTTGCTCTGCTTGAGCAAAGCCTAATCTGACTGGATGTGTGATAGCTGAAGCACATTTTATTCTTGTGATCTTGTGTCGCAATAGATGTGTTTTTATAATATCCTGACACCTGTTGGAGAAAACTTTATGTTACGTAAAACAGTTTTTGTGTGACCCACCCCACATTGCTTAGTCTACATGACCTTGCCTTTTTTAGTATCATTTTTTATTTTCTGTAAAATCTTTATAATTGGATTATTTTAAAGCAATTTTAAAAAATGTTAAATAAGAGTAAGATGTGTATTTTATTTTCCGGAGTAATGGTGTAAAATAACAATTAACATATAAAAGCCTTCTAAATTAGAAAAGGGGAAACTATGGTTAGATTTTCATGAATAAGTGAAATGGCAGTAGAACCATTCTGAATTTTAATTGTAAGCAAACTGCCCAAAATAAATGTTATATTCTAATGGAACAAATAGAGCTAAAAATGACAGGATTTGAAAGAAAATATGCATTAATCTTTATATTTTAGATCCACTTTTGAATCCACACCTGCAAAAATACGAATTTTTGCGCTTTTGTTAATTTATAAAGTAATTTACAAAGCATATCATAGCGTTTCTCTTTTTATATATATTATTCGTAATCTTCACAGGAACTACATACAAGCGAAGTAGCACCGACGGGGTTTTGCTGTAACGCACGTTCTCTCATCCGACCAATCAGAAGATGCGGCATCTTGACGTAATTCCGTCCATTTGACCGACTGTCATGGAAGCCCTCGTGCATGAATGTAAACCGTGTGACTGCTCTGTTTAAAAGCGGGAGCGTTTCTTTTGTGTTTTATTCCGGTAAATATGAGGTGTTTGCTCCGACTGGGCCGCTCGTTCGGCCACCTTCGGGTCCGGTTATGTCACCAGAGTGTTTACAGCAGGAACACAAACCTCCGGAGAGTGGGAGTGAACCTTGGAGAGAAGTAAGATTCGTTTCTCTGACATTCTCTGATCCGACCAGACTCTGTGTGATTTTCATCTAAGATTGTTTATATGCAGGATGCGCAGAACTGGGTTTGTCTCAAAGGTATTTAAGTCTGATTTTGCTTTTGTAGAAAACTTGAAATCTCTTCGGGGAAGTTTGCAAGGTTTGCTGATGGTGCTGCTGTGGTACAGGTAAGTCCAAAAGATGCTCTTTGTCATTGCTCATTCATCTTCCTATTTTAATCTCAACGGTGAAGTATGTGGTATATATTGTTGAGTAATATATGTAATATTGAAATGTCTTCTCTTGGGTCCCTTTTTCCTCTTCCAATATTTTTGCTGCTTTTTCCTGTGATTTATCGTTATACAAGAAGATTTTTAAAAAAGCGTATTTAGATATTTTTGTTTTGAGTTGTTTTGGCCATTTTGAAATCGAGTCATTGTATGATTTAACATATGTAAATGAAGTTTATTGAGTGGTTTCCATAGTAACTGCCTCTACCTTCCCCTCTCCCTTTAGCTGGGGGACACCTCTGTGATGGTGACTGCTGTGAGCAAAACCAAACCTTCTCCATCTCAGTTCATGCCACTTGTGGTAAGGTCCCATCCGTGTTTTTATGACAGCGTGAATCTGTTATCACCGTGCTTATTTTTTACTGCGTATGTTCCAGCTACATGAGGTCTAAGAGGATTTTACTGAAACTGTAAGCCTTAGGACTTGAGTGGTGTCACAAAATGCTTCTTATGTGCCGTGTGAGTGAATGTATGCTTTGTTTTGGCAGGTGGATTACAGACAGAAGGCTGCTGCTGCAGGTCGAATCCCAACCAACTATTTGAGGAGAGAACTAGGCACCACTGATAATGAGATCCTCACCAGCAGACTCATCGGTGAGCTGAAAATGAAACTTTTGCTGCTCTTCTTCTTTATAATGGTAACGTAGAGTCAACATTTTTAACTGACCTCTTCATGTCTCTGTTGATCAGATCGGTCGATTAGACCTCTTTTCCCTCCTGGCTACTTTTATGACACTCAGGTAAATTCATATTTTAAAAGTTTGAATGTATCATGTAGTTTTGTTTTTGAACAAACATGACAGTCAGGATTTCTTGAAAATATTTTCATCTCTTCTAAAGGTCCTTTGTAACCTCCTCGCAGTTGATGGTGTAAATGACCCAGACGTGCTAGCTATTAATGCAGGTAAGAATACACCTTATTGCTTTACGTTTCCTAATACGTACGGTGCTTTAAATTTTTAGTTGACGTGTTATTTTCTCTCATTGAAGCTTCTGCTGCTCTGGCTCTGTCTGACATCCCTTGGAATGGCCCCATAGGTAATAAAACAACTTTGAAATGCATTTCTCCTAATATCTTCCATCTTCTTTACCTATTTGAGTTTACATGACTTTGTTTGAATTGTGACTTCTCGTGTGTTTCCAGGTGCTGTACGAGTTGGTATGGTTAATGGAGAGTTACTGGTGAACCCGACAAGGACAGAGATGGCTTCCAGCAGTTTGAACATGATTGTGGCTGGGGCTCCTAGCAGTCAAGTGGGTAAGGATGCAAAAATACCCACTCCACTAGTAGTAGTAGTAGTAGTAGTAGTAGTAGTAGTATTGTAGTAGCATTGCAGCTTATTAAGAATGCTGCTGCTTGATAACCAAGCACATCGCCCGGTTCTTAAATCTCCACTCTGGTTACCAGTAAACTACAGAATTTATTGTAAAGTACTTCTACTAGTTTATAAATGACTCTGTGGCATGGGGCCAAATTGCATGTCTGATGTCCTTCCGGACGGACCTGGTACCAGGTTCACAAGCACTTCCAGCAACAAAGTTGTTCAAAAAACATGCTTAATATTCACCAATATATGTCAACTGCACACGTACTTAACAGGAAGAGGCTCATCTAAATGATAAAATCCATGTTTTCTACCTCAACTTCACCAAATTCACAAAATGACGCTAAATAGAAAGCAAAACAATGCTAATTTAATGAAGTCAAAAACATAAATTCAGTCTTGCCTTTGCTGGTTTATGGTCATAATAATCCGTGTTATAGTGAAAAAATCCACTTTGTTTGTGTAATCCTATCACTCAATGTCCCACTGACCTGATTGCTGACTGTTTTTGGGCTGTTTTATATGCTGGAGAGTGTTTACAAGTCTCCAATGCTACATTCCACCATTTTCTGGTTGTCCATAATAAAAAAACTCAATGAGGGCTTCTCAGCTGCTCCACAACAAACAAAGAGCAGTGAGCTAAAAACAAACCAAAAAAATGGTGAACTGTGGAGAGCTTCTGGTCCCAGGTGAACATCCTGATCTGTGGATTGGGAAGCAGACCAAAGCGGGAGCTTTAGTGGTCCAATCCCCGGACAAGGAAACTGGCTATTGAGACATGGAATATCACCTCTCTGGAGCTGGAGGTTGTGGAAGAGGCTGAGTAGTACCGGCTAGATAAAGTCAGACTCACAGTTCTTGAGACGAGTTGGACTCTTTTCTTTGTTGTAGTTACTCCAGGTGAGAGGCGGAGGGCGGTGGTTGGCTTTCAGTTAGCCCCCAAACTCTCAGCCTGTATGTTGGAGTTTACCCCAGGGGTCAAGAGGGTCGCTTCCCTTCCCCTTCAGGTCAGAGAACAGGTCTTGTCTGTTGTTTTTACTTATGCGCTGAATACCGATGCAGAGTACTGTTGTTTTTGGAGTCCCTGGGATGAGTGCTAGATGATGCTTTGACTGGGGACTCCATTGTCCTGATGGGGGACTTCAATGCTCACGTGGGCAATGACAGCATGACCTGGAGGGACGTGATTGGAGGAATGGCCCGCATTCTGAGTACCTTTATTTTCCAGCTTTGCACGTTTCTAATCAGTTTGTCTTCTACGTGTGTTCCAGTGATGATTGAGGCATCGGCTGAGAACGTTCTGCAGCAGGACTTCTGCCGTGCGGTAAAGGTGGGAGTCAAACACACCCAGCAGATCATACTGGCCATCCAGCAGCTGGTGCGGGAGCAGAAAGTCATCAAACGCACGCCAGTCAGAATGTTCTCAGTCCCGACTGACATGGTGGAACACGTCCAGAAGTAAGAACACATGCACAGTGGTTTTCTGTTGTTTAAATGTGATAAAGATGGCAGAAGGGGGTAGTAAAACATGTTATTTTATCTTCCTTTAGATTGGTGTCTGAGAAGATCCATGCTGTTTTCACAGATTACTCGCATGATAAGGTAAAGCTTGGAATCCATTTTGTTTGTTCAAATTAAAAAAATGTTCATGAATGATTCTAATCTTGTTTTAGATTTCGAGAGACGAAGCGATTAACAAAATACGACTAGAAACTGAGGAGAACTTTAAAGGTGGGAAACCCTTAGTATTTATTTTAAAGCCACTACTTTTACCTAATCATATATATAAAAGTTATAATTGATGTTTTTGTGTGTGAAGAAAAATTCCCTCAGGCGGAGCCCTTTGAAGTCATTGAATCATTCAATGCTGTGAACAAAGAAGTTTTCCGAAATTTAGTTCTCAGTGAGTACAAGAGGTATGTTTGTCTGTACAGGATTTCCAGAAAAATCTCAACGCTTCATTTCAAAACGTGACTTGTGTAAACGTTTTTTCCCCGTGTTTTTAAAGGTGTGATGGAAGGGAACTGACGTCTTTAAGGAACATATCCTGTGACATTGACCTCTTCAAGCCGCTCCATGGCTCAGCTTTGTTTCAGAGAGGACAGACACAGGTTTGTAAAAACATCATTTCAATCAATTGTTGTTTTTTTTAAGATTGCTTAAGCCAGAGCTATTCAAGGGCTGGTATCCAGCACGTTTTTTTTTTTTTGGTTTGGTTTTTTTTTTCTCTTTTTATTTCATTCAAAATAAAAACAAATAAAACATATAAACAATAAGAAATACATAACAAAAAAAAATAAAATTTGAACGAAAAGGAGCAGAATGAAGAAAAACATCTTATAGTTTCTGCCCCCTTTTCCAGAAGAAATAATCAATTTATATACAATTTCCATTTGTCCGACACACATACAGATTCATTTTAAACTTTTTCCTGTTCTAAATTCCAGTGCGATCATGATCATTGATTTAATTTACATTTTCATAATTATTTAGTACACTCAACTTGGTACATTTTTTGAATATATTAAATGACAGAGTGTTTTAATTTCCCTTTTAAGGTTATTCCATAATTTAACACCATTTACAGATATATTCCATTCCTTAATTTTAGTTCTAAATCCAGGTTTTGTAAACACATCAGTTTCTTTCAGCATGTAATTACTACTTCTCTTTTCAAATATCCCCTGAATGTTTGTTGGCAGAGTACCTAAATTGGCTTTATACATGGTTTGTATGATTTTCCAGTCTTTTAAATCATGAAATTTCAGTAATTTATATTTAATAAACAATGGGTTCACTGGATCTCTACAGCCACTATAACTGATGATTCTCAGAGCTCTTCTGTAAAATAAATATGGGTTATGTATAGTTTTTGTATGTTTCTCCCCAGATTTCTACACAATAAGTCAAGTATGGAACAATCAGTGAATTGTACAATGCCAACAAACAAGAATTAGTCAGTAAAAACTTGACTCTGTGTAATACTCCTAAGGATTTGGCAATTTTACCTTTTATGTAACTAATATGGGATTTCCATGTCAACTCTTCATCAATAAGAACTCCAAGAAATTTAGTTTATTTTACTCTTTGAATTTCAATCCCATCATTTTAGTTTTAACCCTGCTTCTACACACATGATTTCAATCAGCAGGTGATTAACAGACTTCTGCAGAGCCTGATGAGCTGCTGCACATGTGATTCAACCACTGACTCAAGTGTGTTGGAGCATAGGAACAACTGAAACGTGCTGGATACTGGCCCGAAGTTGAATAGCCCTGGCTTAAGCTATTAGAACCCCGACATTTTGGCGACCACGAAAGGACCTTTGATCTTTCAGGCTCCAACAATGCCATGTTTTATTAGAAAAGAGAAACGGCTCTAAAACTAATGAAAAAAAAGAGCTTGTTGCATCTAAAAGCCATTTTAAATAAAAATGTATGTATCTTTATGGTCTTGCACATCCTGTAGGTGCTCTGCAGTGTTACATTTGACTCCCTGGAATCAAGTGTCAAAACAGACATTATAACCACTGCTCTCAGGTGACGTAAATTCATTTGTTTATAACGTTAATGATCACTAGCTAATATTACTGACTTCCATCTGTTTGAACAGGAATTCTAATTGCATGTTTTAATGAAAACATTTTGCTAAGTCAACATGTTCAGTACTTAAACATCCTACAATATTTCTCCGTTTGCTGATGATACCACAATATATTTGTACTAACCATCTGCTGTAAAACACACCTCAGTTAAATCAAGGCGTTCTAAAGGGCAGTGTTTAAAAAAGTAAACTCAAACAGTTTTATTTACAACAAATCTATCAATCTAAGTGACTCATGGGTTTGATTGTGATAAATCTGTTTTTTAGTATTATGTGATGCAATGTAATCTGTATATGCTTAATGGGAGTGGGAAGAAAAGTAGCTAACGTAGCATGCTGTGTTAGCTAACAGGGATCAAAACAAATAAAACACTGTTTTGAATTTATGGAAATTTAAACTTTAAGCCACTAACATTTTCATTTTCATTGTATATTTTATACAGATTAGGAATAATTTAGTAATTTGATCACTATTTTTTCCTCTGCAGTGGCATCAAAGACAAAAACTTTATGCTTCATTATGAGGTGAGTAAATGCTGTTGTCCTTTTCTCTGAAAAACCGAAGGAAAAAATATGATTTTTCTGTTTTTAGACATTTGTTCTCAAATTATCTTTAAAAATCGGGTGGTTTTGATTTCAGTTCCCTCCTTATGCAACAAACGAGACTGGGAAAATGGGAGGTCTCAACAGGAGAGAGCTTGGGCATGGTTTGTTTGCATTCATATCCTTATATGTATCTCCCACAAGCAACACCACCAGTGAAAGTGTTTTTGTGTGTTTGCAGGAGCTCTGGCTGAGAAGGCTCTTAGACCGGTCATTCCTACAGATTTCCCTTTCACCATCAGGGTCACAGCAGAGGTGCTGGAGTCCAACGGTCAGTGTTGAGATGCCAAGTGTTTTTGTAAACAATCCCGTAAATGTCTGCGTATTAAGACCAGACATCATCTCTTCTTCTCCTTCTCCCAGGATCCTCCTCGATGGCTTCAGCGTGTGGAGGCAGCCTTGCTCTAATGGATGCAGGTACAAAAATGGGAATGCTCTAGATCAGTGATTCTGGTGGGTCCTCCTGACCCAAAATTGGGCCGCGGAGCCGATTTTAGTGAGTTATGGCTCTTTACCAGGGCAAAAAATTTTTTTAATGAGACATGCAGTTTTATTTTGAAGGGGAACTTTTTGTCCCTTGGCCTGAATTGCAGTCTGTTCCCACTCCTCTGCAGCAGGTGGTGATAGGGGGTGCTAATTGCTTCCCGCATTTTACAACACAAAGTAGGACACAATGGTACTCAACTGTAGCACTTTTATTTTAACATTTGTACATGTACATGAATATGTAGATGCTAGCGATGTCCCGATCAGGTTGTTTGCCCTCGAGTCTGAGTCATTTGATTTTGAGAATCTGGCGATACCGAGTCCCGATCTGAGACTTTCGATACATAAAAAAATAAATTAATTAATTAAGAAAAGGAAGAAACTGTTCCAGAATGTTCCTTATTTTTTATTTTTGGGTGGCAGACTGAGGCGGGAGCCTTGGCGGTCCGATCCCCGGACAAGGAAACTGGTTTTTGGGACATGGAACGTCACCTCGCTGGCGGAGAAGGAGCAGGAGCTTGTGGCAGAGGTTGAGCAGTACCGGCTATATAGCCGGACTCACCTCGACACATAGCATTGGCTCTGGAACCCAAGTCCTTGAGAGGGGTTGGACACTCTCCTTTGGTGGAGTTGCTCCGGGTGAGAGGCGGAGGGCTGGGGTTGGCTTTTTGTTAGCCCCAAGACTCTCTGCCTGTGTGTGGGAGTTTACCCCGGGGGACGAGAGGGTAGCTTCCCTGTGCCTTCGGGTTGGGGAATGGGTCCTGACTGTTGTTTGTGCTTATGGGCCAAATATCAGTTCAGAGTACCCACCCTTTTTGGAGTCCCTGGGACGAGTGCTAGATAGTGCTCCATTAGGGGGCTCCATTGTCCTGCTGGGGGACTTCAATACTCACGTGGGCAATGACAGCATGATCTGGAGGGATGTGATTGAGAGGAACTGATCTGCGAGAGCCTGATCTGAATTCGAGTGGTGTTTCGTTATTGGACTTCTGTGCAAGCCACAGTTTGGCCATAACGAACACCATGTTCGAACATAAGGATGCCCATCGGTACACATGGTACCAGGGCAGCCTAGGTCGCAGGTCGATGATAGACTTTGTAGCCGTATCATCTGACCTGTGGCCGTATGTTTTGGATACCCGAGTGAAGAGAGGAGCGGAGCTGTCAACTGATCACCACCTGGTGGTGAGTTGGATCAGATGGCAGGGGAAGATGCCGCGTTGACCTGGCAGACCCAAACGCATGGTGAGGGTCTGCTGGGAATGCCTGGCAGAGGAACCTGTCAAGACGGTCTTCAACCCCCACCTCCAGCAGAGCTTTGAACACGTCCCGAGAGCAGTGGGGGACATTGACTCCGAGTGGGCCTTGTTCCACTCTGCGATTGTTGAGGCGGCTGTTGCTAGCTGTGGTCGCAAGGTGGCCGGTGCCAGTCGTGGTGGCAATCCCCGTACCCGCTGGTGGACACCAGAGGTTCAGGGAGCCATCAGGCTGAAGGAGGCCTACAGGGTGTGGCTGATCTGTGGGTCTCCGGAGGCAGCAGACCGGTACCGGATAGCCAAGCGAGGTGCAGCAGTGGCAGTTGCCGAGGCAAAATCTCGAACGTGGGAGGAGTTTGGTGAGACCATGGAGAAAGACTATCGATCGGCTCCAAAGAGGTTCTGGCAAACTGTCTGGAGCCTCAGGAGAGGAAGGCAGCAACTCGCTCACACTGTTTACAGTGGGGATGGGGAGCTGCTGACGTCAACTGGGGGTATAGTCAAATGGTGGAAGGAATACTTTGAGGAGCTCCTCAATCCCACCTACGCACATTCCAAGGAGGAACCAGAGCCAGGAGACCTGGGGATGGACTGTCCAATCTCGGGGGCAGAAGTTGCTGAGGTAGTCAAACAACTACACAGCGTTGGAGCCCCGGGGGTGGATGAGATTCATCCTGGGTATCTCAAGGCAATGGATGTTGTAGGGCTGTCATGGTTGACACGTCTCTGCCACATTGCGTGGTCATCAGGGGCAGTTCCTGTGGAGTGGCAGACCGGGGTGGTGGTCCCCATCTTTAAGAAGGGTGACCTGAGGGTAGGGCTGCAACAACGAATCGATAAATTCGATGAAAATAGATTACTGAAAGCGTTGGCAACGAATTGCGTCATCGATTTGTTGTGTTGCGCAACTCTTCCAAAAGCCCCCCCCCCCCCCCCCCCCCCCCCCCCCCCCCCCCGGCCACCGTTGCGCACAGACCGGATGCAAGTCAGATCAGTGCGAGGGAGAGCCGGCAGGTGTTCGGAAGAGGAACATGGCAGAAGCAGCGAGACCCAAAAAAGTAAAAACTTCTAAAGTTTGGGAGCATTTTCAGTTAAATCAGGCGAAGACATTCGTTACCTGCAACGTTTGTAGGGCAGACTTAGCATGGCACGGGAGTACTACAGTGATGATGCAGCATCTTAAACGCAAGCAAGTCAGAATCATCAGCGAGGAAGGGGAGAGCTCTGTGTCCGGGTAAGTTAAAAACTTTTCAAAAGTGATTCACCCAAGCCCCGGATTATTACACAGGCTAGACATGCCCTAAGCTTGTAAAAAAAAAAGTCTATAAAATCGTAAACGCGACGCTATTAGATAAACGGGGGTGGGGGGGGGGAACTCGCGCTGCTGCGAACCGGTTCCGCCGTCACATTCCCGCAGAAACTGGTTGATTACACCGGGGCCAGACTACTAGCACCACACCGTCCTCAGAAGCGAAAACGCTTTTAAAAGGGAGGGAGAAGTACTAACTCTCGCTGCAGGCGTGTTGTGTGAGAGTGCAGTTATATACTGGTTAATATATTTTTGGGTTCATTTGCTTTCATGTGGCCTAATGTGAGTCTATTTGGGATCATTGGAATGATCAGCAGCATTTCTTGATGTGACTTTATGGCAGTTGCCCAGGGCATCATCGCAAGGAGGATGGCATTCATTTACTTTTGTTTTATTTGGTATTTTTTCAGTCATTTTTGGAAATAGTGATTAATTTTGATTAATTCACAGCCTATGTTTAATTACATTTAAAAATTAGTTGTTTGACATCCCCAGTTATAATAAATGTCTACAGATGAGATCAAACAAAACAGATGAGAATTGCCCTTAAAGAGCAAGTCACCCCCAAATAAACATTTTTTTTGTTGATAAACTAAATAAACGAGTGTCTAATCCTGCTGCAGACACGTGTCGTCAATAATTTGGAACTTCAGTGCATCTTAGTTAAAATTTAAATATTCTGCCTAAAACTGGCAGTGTTGTGCCGTTGTCAGGTAAAAACTCTGCACTGTATTTTAATTTAAATCTGCCACCGCTATTGGCTAAGAAGTATGCTATGATGTAAACTGGTACATTATGATGTCACAATGCTGTCGTGAGCCTGAGTGTGTGTGTATTTGTTAGCGGCTCCGCCCTCTCGGTCTGCCAGGCAACAGCATGTGTTGTATTTTTCAAACATGAAGTGGGAGTGGAGTTAGACTCTGGTAGGGGTTGACTTGCTCTTTAAGCTGTTTAACTTGGACCAAGCATTTTAGGTCACAGATAGGTGTAGCTTAGGGTCTCTGTCTATACACCTTATAAGACAATTTAGGTGATGGCATGTTGTTTTTCTGCTATTGAACTGTTTTCTAATAATGTTGTGTTTAATAAAGTGAAGGAAGGAGAGAAATAACGTTTCCCTAGCAGTTTTAAACAATGTCCCCATGTAATCCAATTAATCGATTAATCATGTCGAGACCCCATCCGATTACTCGATTATCCAAATAATCGTTTGTTGCAACCCTACCTGAGGGTGTGTTCCAACTATAGGGGGAATCACACTCCTCAACCTTCCTGGAAAGGTCTGCTCCAAGGTACTGGAGAGGAGGGTCCGATCGATAGTTGAATCTCAGATTGAGGAGGAGCAATGTGGTTTTCGTCCTGGCCATGGAACTGTGGACCAGCTCTATACCCTTGCAAGGGTGATGGAGGGGCATGGGAGTTTGCCCAACCAATCCACATGTGTTTTGTGGATTTGGAGAAGGCTTATGACCGTGTCCCCAGGGGCACCCTGTGGGGGACGCTCCAGGAGTATGGGGTGGGTGGCTTTCTGTTAAGGGCCACTCAGTCCCTTTACCAGAGGAGCGTGAGTTTGGTACTCATAGCCAGAAGTAAGTCGGACCTGTTCCCGGTGAGGGTTGGACTCCGCCAGGGCTGCCCTTTGTCACCGGTTCTGTTCATAACCTTTATGGACAGAATTTCTAGGCGCAGCCGTGGTGTGGAGTGTGTTGAGTTTGGTGGCAGGAGAATCTTGTCTCTGCTTTTTGCGGATGATGTGGTCCTCCTAGCCTCATCCAGCTCTGACCTTCAGATCTTGCTGGGTAGGTTCGCGGCCAAGTGTGAAGCGGCTTTGATGAGGATCAGCACCTCCAAGTCTGAGACAATGGTTCTCGACCAGAAAAGGGTGGCTTGCCAACTCCGGGTCGGGAGAGAGGTCCTACCTCAAGTGGAGGAGTTTAAATATCTCAGGGTCTTGTTCACGTGTGAGGGTAGGAGGGATCGGGAGATCAACAGGCGGATTGGTTCGGCGTCTGCAGTGATGCGGACGCTGAGCCGATCTGTCGTGGTGAAGAGGGAGCTGAGCCAGAAAGCCAGGCTCTCGATTAACCTGTCGATCTACGTCCCAATCCTCACCTATGGTCATGAGCTTTGTGTAATGACCAAAAGAGCGAGATCGCGGATCCAAGCGGCCGAAATGAGTTTCCTCCGTAGGGTTGCTGGGCTCTCCTTTAGAGATGGGGTGAGAAGCTCGGTCATTCGGGAGGGGCTCTGAGTAGACCCGCTGCTCCTCCACATCGAGAGGAGCCAGTTGAGGTGGCTCGGGCGTCTGGTCAGGATGCCTCCTGGACGCCTCCCTGGGGAGGTGTTTCGGGCATGTCCTGCTGGCAGGAGGCCCCCGGGTCGACCCAGGACACGTTGGAGAGGTTACATCTCCAATCTGGTCCGGGAACGCCTTGGGGTCCTGCCGGAGGAACTGGTGGAGGTGGCTGGGGAGGGGAGGGTCTGGAGCTCCCTAGTTGGGATGCTGCCCCCGCGACCTGGACCTGGATAAGCGGAGGAAGATGACGACGACCTTTTTATTTTAATTTTTAACAACAGGTCACTTCTGTGAGGCAGCTTGAACAATCAAGTAATAAATAACATAAATTCTTCACTTTTGGACTTGATTGCAAATAAAAAATGTCTAATGTAAAAACAGATAGCACTTCAACTTAAAATACCTAGCAGGGGTCTATTTTGCCTCGGCCCCCCAAATGCTTAGATACGTCCCTGGGCATGGGACGGAGTTTTGAAGATGATCTGAATCGTATCAACTATATAAATACTACATGCTGATAAATTATTGCTTTATACAGGTACAAACGTGTAGTGGGATAAATCTACCTACATTTTATTTTTTAAGACTTTTTTTTGTTTTCTTGGTTTTTATTTTCCTATCTTCCTGTCCTGTCTGTCTCTGATCTTCCTGCATCTCTCAGTCCTCCAGAAAAACTCCTGCCTGCTTCCTTCTTTTTCACCTCACAAGTAACTTTTTAACTAGCAGATGAAATTGATCTATTGACAGCAATAAAAGCAGAGTGTGCGCTGCGCTGCCCGGCTGCGCCAGTGCGAGCGCTGCAGCTTGAGCGCGTCCACACGTCATGCTCAAATACAGACAGAACTTACCAGAGAGAAAATGAACCGACATGAATGACTGTGTGTTAATTATATATTTTTTGGTGACGCCACTAAAGCCCCCTTCAGACATGCCATGAAAAACGGAAATGTTCCGGACTCTGTCCGTAAGACCTTTGTGTCTGAATACAAACATCCGGATAACGTGTTCCGGAATTTAACCGGACGAAGCCCCTAGTAACAGGTCCGGACTTGTTACGGACAGGGTGGCTGCTTCAGACTGGTGAGGTAGAGTTCCGGACAAGAGGGAGGAGGGGACCGGGGGACGCCGTGCACACCTATATAGTCAGCTGCTGTAGCATGCGGCGAACCACTGCAGCTCGCCTCCTACGGTACCGCCTAGACGTGCGACGGAGCGCTTCACACCGCTTCAGTGATTCCTTTAACTATTGAGCTTCATCATCCAGGTCTCTTACGTGTCTTCGTGTGCTCAGAATTATGCTTAAGCGCCTCGTGATTTTTATCTTCAGAGGCGCTATAGAAACGATATTTTCTTCTTCTTCTTCTTAACATAAGTCCGTTCTACCCACCCCCCGCCGCCGTCAGACATCTGGAACTTTTCCCTGCTGTGTGAACGCAGCTGAAAGGACAAGTTCCGGTACAAAAGTGGTGTGTCTGAAAACACAGTTCTGGTTAAAAACCGGATTGAATTGTCCGCAAATGTTCCAGAATGTCTATCTGAAAAGGGCTTTAGAAACTTAGAAAATGCTACTGTGGCCGTGTGCAGAACGCAGCTGGAGTTCATGAATAATCAGCGGTCTGCCTGCCGCTCTCTGCTGCTCTGCTCAAAAGAATCCCCGCTACGCTGAGTCCATATAAATAATATAATATCGGTAGAAACTGGATCTTTTTTGTGCTCCTTCTGGGTGTGTAAGTTAAGGGCATCAGGGGAGCCTGACAACCTTTAAGGAGAACCAAGTTGCTCTCCAGTAATTTGAACCCAGTATCCAACTCTGGATCGGGGCTTGGATCGGGAAGTAAAGCCCGAGTCTCAATCAGTCTGAAACCACGTGATCGGGGCCGATTTCCGATCATGTGATCGGATCGGGACATCCCTAGTAGATGCCCCGTTAGGCGCTGGAGAGCGTAACATAGTTGCTGCCATGTTGGAGGGGTTCCTCACTCCAAACCCAACTGGAGTCAACACAAAGTGAGCAACTCTTCCCTTTTTTTGTGCAGCCTACTGTTGCAACAACTGGCGTTCTGATAAAAACAAATCATATGGGATTACTATTGACTTTTCTAACTAACCTGTTGAGATTTTATATTTTAATAAACATTTTTAAACTATATTTTAATTATCATGCCATATTATATGTCTGACTTTGTAAAAGCATAATAAAAAATGTTTTTTAGCTGGTGTAGCGCCAGCGCCCTATACACTGGCACTACCTGGTAGCTGTTGCGGGTGGTCTTTACGTGTGCTTTAAGAAATGCAGCTTGAGTTTATTTCTGATGATGTTTATTACTTGTCTTGTTCCAGAATGTCCAGGATCCATTTACAGCAGTTAAATTGGTTTGCAGTGAATGCGTTACTTGCCCCAATGACAGTCCGCAGAGTCCGTTACACACAGCAACAGTCCTCGCCACACACTAAAAAACTGTTTGTCCCATCCAGCCACACCTGAGTCCAATCTGTGTTGGCTTAAGTAGGCTGGTGCTTCTACAAGCAATTAACCAATAACACGAGGCCAAGCCTCCTCTCAAGTGCACAAAAAGAAATGACACATATAAGCAGCACCTTCCTCAGCAGAAATAAGAGCACTCGGGGCAATTGGGACCCATCCAAGATGGTGGCCTGCTGCAACGCCAGCTCTAAGAGGCAGCACCAGTCCACACACAGAGTGTCTACGTATATGATGTTTGTGTGGGTACCTGCTATTTTTGTTCTGTGTGAAGTTTAAATGGAACCACCTTTTCCTGAAAAACATTTGAGAAGTTGGAAATGTTTTCTCGATTTGGGTCACGGCTTGTCTTTAAGAGGTGATTGTGGGTCTCAAGCCCAAAGCAGTTGAGAATCACCGCTCTAGATTATGTTTTCTACTTAAGACATCAGCTTTTTAGACAATTCTCACGGACATCTAATATGATACTAATTATGTTTACATTTTATCTGCAGGCGTTCCCATCTCTTCAGCTGTAGCAGGCGTCGCCGTCGGCCTGATCTCAAAGGCTAATCCAGAGAAACCCGGCGAGATGGAGGACTACAGATTACTAACAGATATTTTAGTATGAACAGTACAACTTTGTAAAAAAGGATTCATTTAAAATCTGAATTCATTTGGAGATATTTATTGTGTAATTGTTTTCCTAACAGGGAATAGAGGATTACCTGGGAGACATGGACTTCAAACTGGCAGGAACAAACAAGGGTATCACTGCATTACAGGTATTAGATGAAAAATAAAAAAATCTGCTTTAATTTAAAAAAAAATCTATTCTGGGTTTACTTTAACTAATCATTGGATTGAGATATAACTATTGAAACTATATGAAAAAGGTTTAATTTTTTTAAAGCCATATTTTGTGACTTTTTCATATTTTTATATAATTTTCTTGAGCCAGTATGTGCTAAAATGACCCTTTACAGGGTTAATGAAAGGCCACCCAGCTCCATTGCTACCTGTGACCAGAATATCCCACTTGCAACTTCAGACTGGCGGGCCTCTCAGTTGGGACTTAGAAAAAATGGAGCTGACATACCTGGAGCTGCAGTCTGCTTCCAGCCCGTTTCCTGCACGTTTTAGATCATCATTTGGTGATGAATCACTCCTGCAGACTCTAAGGAAAGCTGAGGAGACATTTCAGCTGTTGGATTAAGGTGTTAAAAAGATGAACATGCAGCGCAGAAATAAATTTTGCTTTTTGTTCTATTAACAGACACTAGGGGGTGCTAAAAGCAAACCAAAACTGCCTAGTTCCCCTTTAAATCAAGAAAAAGCCTTTCCAGTCGGCTCATAGGTCCCCGAAGAACGAAAAAATGAATGGAAGTCAATGGGGCTAAAACAGCTATTTTCTAATCCGCTTTGCCTTACCCCGGCTTTCCACAGCAGCCGTCAGCAGCACGTTACTGCAGCAGCACGTCATAGCTGCTGATAGGAACCGCTGTGGTCAACAGAACCTTTTCCACTGGAGCCGTCGGCAGCCGTCAGCAGCGCGAGTCGGCCGCGTCTCAGGAGCAGCATGTCGCGGCCTTTACGCGCCGGTTCTATTTCCTACGCGCGACGCCTCTGAAACGGGTCAAGTTCAACATTTTTGGGGAAGGAAAGACAGGAAATCGGACGCGGAAATGGAGAGAAGCTCCCGAGATTTTCAGAATAAAGAACGTACTGCCTTCCGGTTGCTTTACTTTAAAAAAGGTTACTAACTGTGCGGCCCCGTGAGAAGTTATCACCTAGCTAGCGGTCTCCTTTGTTTTTCAGGTCCGTATTGGCGATTATAAAACGGACAGAACATAAAAACACAAACATTTTGGAGCCATGTTGTAGTTTTCTCCTGCTTGTTGTTGTGTTTACTGACGAAGTCACTCGTGTGACTTCGTGCTCTGTCGGTGACAGCTGCTCCCCTGCTGATTCGCGTCTCGTGGGAAGGGCCAAGCAGCAGTTTACGCGAGCAAGACGTGCTGCTGCAGTAACGTGCTGCTGACGGCTCCCGTGGAAACCCGGGGTTAGGCCATGCTGTATGTTTTGACCATGCCTGTCACGTACTTTGAGATTTATCAGCTTGTTAAAGTTCGTAATTAGCACGGCTACAGATCAGAGGTCGGTATGTCGCATATATGATGTCACCACATAATCTCCAGCGTAGCTGCTACTTACCACATGGCCAGATTTATAGTGGTTCTTTCCGCCTGAAAGAAGGATTTGAAGTGTGCTGAATTTATATCCATTTCCCCTCGGGTTTTTCTCCGTGTCTGGTTCAATGACATCACTTTGGTGTTGCACATTTGTAGTCCTGGTCTTATTTTCACACAAAACCTAAAATAACATTTCCCCCTGTTCAAAAATATGCTCTTTCTTGGTGTCAAAATGTGTCTTTAAAATTCAGGGACATCATTTGTGAAATCCATGGCACATAACAAGAGGAATTAAAAAATAGCTTTTTTTTAGCCACATTGACTTTGCGTTCATTTTTTCGTTCTTCTGGGTACCCATGGTCCGTAAGTAGATGGGCATGACTTAGGCTCCCTATAACAAGTGTGTAACTATTAAAGTGACAGAGTTCTTCCTTCAGGACCACACAGCTGTTGTAACTGTAAACTAACAAAATTTGATGCGATTATAAGATTATCTACTTTATTTAATCTATAGGCTGATGTGAAGATTCCAGGTTTACCTCTTAAGGTGGTCATGGAGGCGATTCAGCAGGCCACAGGTATAATAACTTCTGAGAGCAAAGATTTTTGTGTGTTTTCAACAGTTTTGTTTGAATATTATTTGTATTTCAGTGGCAAAGAGAGAAATCTTGGGTATTATGAATAAATGTATAGCAAAGCCCAGAGGGACCAGGAAGGAGAATGGACCTGTTGTTGGTAGGCTTTGCATTGTAGTGTACGCAAATCTGAGACTTGTGTGACTTGTTGAATATGTTTTGTTCTGATGTGAGTTTTTTTTTCTATTCTAGAGAATGTCAGGGTACCTCTGTCTAGAAGAGCTCGCTTCGTTGGTCCAGGAGGATGTAACCTCCGAAAGCTTCAAGCTCAGACGGGTACAGTATTGTTAGTTTACTAAAGTTGAACTGTTAAAGTTTCATTTGGTGTTTGAGGATTTTCCCCTTTTCCTCTTGAGGCGTTACAATAAGTCAGGTGGACGAGGAGACCTTTTCTGTGTTCGCTCCCACACCAGGAGCCATGAATGAAGCCCAAGAGTTTATCAGAGAGGTCTGCAAAGATGATGTGAGTCTTCATATTTGTTTTTGGCACATCCTTGAAGTTCACTGAGAAACAAATAATACTGGGTCCCTCTGAGGTTCACAAGCATGCAGAATGAAAAAATTGTCTTCTGACTGCCCCTATTTGGGCGGTGGTGGCAGAGGAGTTAAGTGCCCACCCTGTAACTAGAGGGTTGCAGGTTCGATCCCCATTTGTTGCTGTTGCGTCCTTAGGCAAGACACTAAACCCACCTTGCCTGCTGGTGGTGGTCAGAGGGACCGGTGCTGCCAGTGCTCAGCAGTCTCGTTTCCGTCAGTGCACCCCAGGGCAGCTGTGGCTACATTGTAGCTTATCAACACAAGCGTGCGAATGTGAGTGTGCTTGGGTGGATGACTGTGTTGTAAAGTGCCTTGGTGGGTTGTAGAACCCTAAAAGGTGCTATATCAAGTACAGCATTTTGGGCATTTGAAAAACCTGACAGATCCACGTCATATTGTAAATTAACATGCATGACCTCACCCATCTTGGCTCACGACGAGGAAGGCTGTTGTTGATTTAGCGTCCTGGAAACGGCGAGAATGTCACTGCTAGTAGAAGCTAATCGTTAGCATCAGCAACTCCACAACATGGCAGAACTGCTTCAGGCTTGTGTTATTTGTGGAGATAAAACATCAACGTTGCAAAGCAAATAGAGTCAGTGGTAGAGTCGCGTTGCTGTTAGCCAATCAGAGGCCAGATTTTTCATATCATTACTAATAATGAGTCAGACTCCAAATCCTGCTGTTTTCTGCTGTCTTTTGTTTTCCTTCATATTCATAAATTCAGGGCGGTACCATCCACTCATGGATTTTATGTTTATTATATATTTATTTTCCATTCATTTGTAGCAAGAACAGCAGCTGGAGTTTGGTGCTGTCTACACTGCCACCATCACAGAAATAAGGTAAGGAAATAAAATCAGAATGGTTATTATGAATTACATTAGTGGGTAAGTGGATCACTGGACATTGATCTGTGGAGTATTAAAATAATTTGGGTTCATTTGCCCACTAAGAGTTTTTCTCCTCTGCTTTAGGGATATTGGAGTGATGGTGAAACTTTATCCCAACATGAGTCCAGTGCTACTGCACAACTCCCAGCTGGACCATAAACGGGTCTGTATTTGTGAGCCTTTGTTTAGTCGATTTAGGTTTTGTGTAAAAAACAAAACAAAAATAAAACTAAAATTCGAGACTCTTCAAATATAAATATATATTTTTTGCACTTAGATCAAACATCCAAGTGCTTTGGGCTTAGAAGTGGGACAGGAGATACAGGTATGCATCATTAACTACGACTGGTTAAAAGTAGAAATCGTGTGTCCATTTTGGGTTGATCACGTTTCATTTGTGCTCAGGTCAAGTACTTTGGACGGGATCCAACAGATGGAAGGATGAGGCTTTCGCGAAAGGTGCTCCAGTCTCCTGCTGCAACTGTGGTTAAAACCCTGAGTGAGAAACAGAGCATCTCTATGGGCAACAGCAACAGGACCGAAATGGACGTATGACACCATGCTTCAGCAGACGGGATTGAAACTGTCGAGATATTTGGAGAAAAGGAACATATGGACATATTTACTGAAGGAAATAACATGAGATGCTTGTTTATTAACGCTAAATAGCTACTGAGTTCTGGTACTCTTTACTGAAACATCCTCTAATAAATCTGCCTCAGCCACATCTGATTGAGATACAGATGATGTTGATTCTAATGTTTTTTTTTTTCCCGACATTGCCTTTTATGTTTTTTACGTCACTTGAAACAACAAGTCTGTGTTTCTGTTGGTCACACCTGGTGTGATAATACAGGTGTGAGTGGATGGACGTATGAGTTGTGCTCAAGAGACTCATGGTGTATTTATAGTAAATGTGATATGTGTATTTACCAATATTAATCATTTTTATAGCTAAAACTCATTTTCGTAAATAAAATACACAAAATAATCCAGACGGTTACTAATATTTTTACTTTCGATAGAAGGCGCTGTGTTGTACTGCTAGTAAATTAAGCCCCGCCTACCCCACGGCGGTTAGTGTTTGACAACTACGAAGAAAAAGATCGGATTACAAGATGGTGGTCTGTGGACGCTAGCAGGCAGGCCGTTGGAGTTGTGTGCTCTTTTAATTTCACTGTTTGGTTGTCAGGCCTCCTTGCTTTATTCCGTAGACGAAATATGTTGAAGTAGCCACAAATATTTATAACAGCAGTTGCAAGTTCCAATTAGACGTGCATGTTTTATAACATGCAGATGGGAAAAAAGTTAAAAGGTCGAGGAAAACACTAGACGGCGTGAGGAGATAGGCTGTTAGCATCCAGCTAGCTAGCTCCGACTCGATTAGCCATGTCGGACACTCGGCGGCGTGTTAAAGTGTACACCCTGAACGAAGACAGACAATGGGACGATCGAGGCACCGGACACGTCTCGTCTACATTCGTGGAGCGACTAAAAGGGATTTCACTCTTAGTTCGAGCTGAATCGGACGGTAGGTTCTCCGTTAGCATAGCCGCATTCACGCTACGTTGGCTATAACTTTAGCATGCTATCTCCTTGTCCTCAGAACGCCTTGGTTCATATTTTGTTTTGAGGGGCGTCATATGTTATGTACGTTTATTCTTACTTTTGTGGCTCACCGTATTCGACAGTTAAAATTCAAAGCAACAACCTTGTCCTATACAAGTTTTTTTAAATAGCAATGCTTCACATGCTCATTTGTTTAAAACACGACATCACGATCACGCACGGGGGCTCCTCGAAGTCTCACGGTACACGTTCAAACTTGGAGTTGCTCACATTTGGCTCCAGCACACATTTAAATACAGATTATCTTAAGTTACTTGTCAAATGTGGATTTTGGTTAACATTAAGTGTATATTTTCAAAGTTATGTCCAGTTTAGTGTTGTTAGTAATTACTTGACCACGTTTTGCTGTTAATATAGCAATCATATGTACTGTTTATATAATCGACTATCATCACAATTTTAGGATCGTTGCTGTTGGAGTCGAAGATAAGTCCAAATACCGCATATCAGAAACAACAGGTAGTAAGCCTTCACGACACGTGGTATCTTGATCTGTGTGAATGAAAACTTCTGATTGCCATAACCAGCCGAGACTCTTAAACCAAAACTGGATGTTTGTTTCTCTCTCTGTAGGACACACTGATTGTCTGGTCTGAAGCAGATAATTATGATCTTGCCTTAAGTTTCCAGGAAAAGGCTGGTTGTGATGAGATTTGGGAGAAAATTTGTCAGGTATCGTTCAGCCAGCAAAGTTGATGAATGTCATCCTCTCTGAATTGCTATTGACATAACAATCATTTATAACTCAGGTTCAAGGTAAGGACCCTGCTCTGGACATCACCCAGGACCCAATTGATGAGTCAGAGGAAGACCACTTTGAGGAGATCCCGGAGACAACGCATCTGGTTGAGCTGCCTCCTTGTGAGTTAAGTCGACTGGAGGAAATAGCTGATCTGGTTACCTCTGTCTTGTCGTCGCCTATCCGAAGAGAAAAACTTGCCCTGGCACTGATGAGTGAGGGCTACATCAAGAAACTGCTGGGTCTCTTCAGAGTATGTGAGGATCTGGAGAACAGAGAAGGTCTGCATCACCTCTATGAGATTGTGCGAGGTGTCTTGTTCCTCAACAAAGCAGCTCTCTTTGAGATTATGTTCTCCGACGACTGTATCATGGATGTAGTGGGTTGCCTTGAGTACGACCCGGCCCTGGTTCAGCCTAAACGACACAGGGAATTCTTGACCAAGACGGCAAAGTTTAAGGAGGTGATCCCTATCACAGACTCTGAGCTGCGGCAGAAAATCCACCAGACGTACCGTGTTCAGTACATCCAGGACATAATCCTGCCCACACCATCCGTCTTTGAGGAAAACTTCCTATCCACACTCACGTCCTTCATCTACTTCAACAAAGTGGAAATAGTCAGTATGTTGCAGGTAAGGATTCAAAACGCTCAAAATGAATTAAATTCTGACATTTCTAAAGTTTGTGTGGTGTATTACTGATTATGTATGATGTTTAATAACATTACATCTTAATTAGTTCCTTTAGTTTTCATTGTTTTTAGATAATTTAGTAGGGATGCAACGATACCCCTTTTTTCCAAACCGATACGATACCGATACTTGGATCTGAGTACTCGCCGATACCGATTACCGATACTTCTACCACACAAACAAAATGCAATGGTTTGGAATACAGATTTTATTTTCTTCTCTGCTTTCAACAGGAAAAGACTGTGAGGTAGATAAAAAGTAAAATATATGAATAGAAGTCATCACAAAACTAAAATATTAGGTGAACAGAAATGACAAGTTACAGTGAAGACATTTTCAAGCAACTGCATTGGTATCGGTTAACTTTACCCCAATACTGGAATCTGTATCGGCACCGGTGCATCCCTATCATTTAGTAAACTCATCTTTCCTGTACTGAAAAATTGGATTTTATAGGGGATGATAAATTAAATGTGAACATCTGAGAAGACCGTTTTTGTTGTGACTCAGTTTGTCTTTTAAAAACAGATCTGTTAAGAGTTGCGGACAGTTGGATGTGTTTTGTGATTGTTCTGGCATGACTCTTGAGTGAGGGATGTGTTGCAGACAATGTCTCATTTTCTAAATAATTTAACAATTTCAGAGTTCTGTATTAAATTAAGGTAAACAATTGCTTCTGTTCAAGTGTTTAAAAAAGATATTTTGTGTTTAAATGGTTTACCCTTTGATATAAAAATCTTGTATTTGTGCAGCTTCAGTGTTTAATGTGAATAAACACCGAAATGCTGTGAATGATTTAAAGTGACGCACAGTGACATCAGAGATTTCTGCTGCTGGAAATACGGCAAAGCAAATGTAAACAAAAGGAGCAGTAGTAAAAGGGAAACATGAATTTCTGTTAGTTTCTTCCAACTGTTCTACAGGTGAGCGGAAACAGTTCTAAAGATTGTACAGAATGATCATGGTAAGCTCAAATAATCGTCACGGGATTAGGTTTATTTTTTATCCTCAGTTTGAATTTATTATAAGTCTTTAACTTTTTCATTACTTGGTAATCTTGTGTGCTAACACACATTCTGACTCTGCTGCAGGAGGATGAGAAGTTCCTGACGGAGGTCTTTGCACAGCTCACAGACGAAGCCACAGACAGTAAAAGAAGGGAGCTAGTAAGTGCAACTGTCATCAAATATGGATAGATAAATATATATATATTTACTGTTTTCTTTTAGGTGCTTTGTGCGTGTCATAACTGTTTTCTCTCCATGCTTCCTAGGTAAACTTTGTCAAGGAATTTTGTGCTTTTTCCCAAACGCTGCAGCCACAAAACAGGGACGCTTTCTACAAAACGTTGGCAAATCTGGGAATTTTACCTGCTCTTGAAATAGTCATGGTACGTCTCTGGGGTTTGGATGATCGTTAAAGTCAAATTAGATTTGTTGTCTAATTGACGGCGTGTACATGCGTGTAATTGGTCTTTCTGTTGTTTTTCCTCCTCAGGGAATGGACGACCTGCAGGTGAGAGCAGCAGCTATCGACATCTTTTCTTACCTGGTGGAATTCAGCCCCTCCATGGTTCGAGAGTTTGTCATGCAGGAACAGCAGCAAACTGAAGACGTAAGCATATAAGCATAGCTGGGACTACGGTTGTTGTTTTGAAGTGATCACGCTCTATTTAATGTGCAAGGAGTTCTCAGATTGGTTTGTATGAATGTACCTGTTGTGTTAATGTTCCTCTCTGACATCAATGTCACCTGTGTCACAATAGCTTTGTTCCCATTACCAGAACTTCTGGGTAAATTGTGGGAGGGAGAAATTGACCGTGAGATACGATGTCCCAGTCCTCTCACCTGTTGTCTCCATGTAAATTCAGCCCTTTCAGAACTTTGCACAGACTTCAGCCTATCGTGACTGCTTCTGCAGTCAGTGATGTCACTGATCAGCGCCAAAAAGTGTCCGCAATATCATTAACCCTTTATAGGCCCTCATTGAAGTAGTTAAATTTTTAATGTTTCAACCTCATGGTGTTATGATGTATAACAAAAGGAATTTTTCAATTTTGAAAACATTTATTTTCATGCTCAAAATCAGAGAAAACAAAGTGATCAAATATGGATGATGGTTCTGTTCTGGTGCAATAAATCCCCAAGTAAAAAAATGTGAACAAGTTAAACATTTTTTTAAATATAGATAATTATAACACTTTAAAATAATCTAGCTAATATTAGAACATCATATCACTGTTGAATATATATCACAATTATTAAACAGTATAGTGTATTTATTTAGAAAAACCGATTGCTGTAGAATGTTTTGAAAAGTTACTGAACAATAGATCTGATCAAATCTACAGTAGAGGTAGTCCTGTTGGAAAACCATTTCTGACCACCTCTTAAAGCTCATCAAGAGAATGCCAAGAGAGCAAAGCAGTAATCAGATCAAAGAGTGGCTATTTTGAAGAAAATAGAATTTAAAATATTTCAGTTATTTAACCTTTTTTGGTTAAGAACAGAACTCCACATGTGTTCATTCAGAGTTTTGATGCCTTCAGTGAAAATCTACCGATGTAAATGGTCATGAAAAGACAACACATCGAATGAGACAGGTGTGTCCAAACTATTGGCCTGTACTGTATATTATTAGAGTATTATATTTAAATATCTGCCTCAGTTTAATTTTTCTCCTCTTCAGCCTCATCACTGATGGCGGGATTGGCTGGCACAATAACCGTCCTCTATTTTCCATAGAAATCTGAGTTTAAACTGCAAAATATATTCAATATTATAATTGCTATCTGTATTGTTACCATGATTATGAAGGTTATGTCTAAAAAAACAAGATTTTAACTAAAAATATACACAGTTTATTTTACTTGTTCAGAGTGTAAAAACAAGAGGAGAGCAGTTTTCTGGTTCTGCAGACACACAAATCTTTGACCCATCATGGCCCTGCGCTGATTGGTCGAACTGTGCCCAGCTTGATCTCTGATGCCTGTTTGGGTGAAATCCCATCATTCTAAGAGTACGTCAAAAGGCAAACAGACATCATTTATGTGAGTGGAACTGTCTGAATATAGATGTTGGCCCTATTAAATTTAACAGTAAAAGCATTTATTCTGTCGAAGTAGATCATCATTTCATCCATCCAAGGGACGAGAGCAGCTGTGTGATGTAAAATGTGGCGTTCAATGACCAGAACAAGTTCCTTTATTTTACAGCGCTTTGTGAGACAACAAAGTCCTGTTAAGTCGTTGTGGGGGGATTTCCTCGTGGTTTTCCGGCGTCGGAAGTTTAATTTTAGGTGCGATCGGTGCTCATTTTCCTCAGCTTTCATTCTGTTTCACCTGCAACTCTTCTAATTTTACTATTGTTCCTTGTTTTGGACGACATCTGCTGATGTCATTTCCAACTGAGCTACAACCAATCAGCATGTGTTAACCAGAACTTCTGCTCAGCTACACCACCGGGTCATTCTGAGTACCTGATCTCCTTCCTGAAAAGGGTCGTTCCATCAGCCCCGTGCAGTGGAGACATGCACATGTTGCGAAGTTCCTACAAATGTACCCTGAAGTTCTGATAATGGAAACAGGGCTGTTGAAACGGGTTGCAGATGTTGGTTTTTGTATGCGTGTTTGTTTACGTGTGTAAAGTAAATGAATTGTTTAGGGAGGTTTTGTTTGAAAAGAAAACATGTTTTCCTCCAGTTGGGTGATATTTGCTGTGTGTGTGTGTGTTGTAGGATGTTCTGCTGATAAACGTCGTGATCAAGCAGATGATTTGTGACTCCGATCCAGAGTTGGGGGGGGCTGTCCAACTGATGGGTCTGCTCAGGACTCTCATCGACCCAGAGAACATGTTGGCTTCCTCTAATGTGAGCAAAAACAACTTGTTGGTTGTGTGAAGTCATCATTAACCAGCATGAGTCACACGGCTCGTAAAAACTGGTTAAAGTGCTTCTACAGCGACTTTTGTCACGTTTATTTCTTTTAGAAAACGGAGAAGACTGAATTCCTGAGTTTCTTCTACAAGTACTGCATGCATGTCCTCACAGCTCCTCTGCTGGCCAACACTGCACACGACAAGATCTCAAAAGGTTTACTGGGGACATTAAAGCCCAACTCTTTCAGACTTTAGGATAAGAAGAGATGTAAACAGCTTCTGTGTTTTTACCTTTCAGATCAACCGGAGGAATCCACAAAAATCAACCCTGTCTGTCCAGGTGGGTCCTTTCCTACCCCTGAAACTGTCAAACCTCTGCTTAACTTGTGCATTGAATTGTTTTGTAGAAGATGGTTGTGTTTCTTTCTAGATCAGTTTTGGTCCAAATTGTTCATTTTAAATCCGATTAAATGGTGCCGGGGCTATACAGCCAGTGGGTTATATTGGCTTGTTGCTATAGAAAGGAACTCATTGTGTTGCATGTTTGTAATTGTGTGTGTGTGTGTGTGTGTGTGTAGACAACTTCCAGACAGCTCAGCTGTTGGCGCTGATCCTGGAGCTTCTAACGTTTTGTGTAGAGCACCACACCTACCACATCAAGACCTACATCATGAACAAAGACCTGCTCAGGAGAGTTCTGGTGCTCATGAACTCAAAGCACACGTTTCTCGCTCTTTGTAAGTTGTTTAGTACGTTGTTGTGATTGACTGAAAGTAGTTCTGATACAAGCAGCAGGTTTCTGTTCAGATCTAGTTCTAGTAAACCGGTTTTCTCTGCCCCAGGCGCCCTGCGTTTCATGCGCAGAATCATCGGGCTGAAAGACGAGTACTACAACCGCTACATTATCAAAGGGAACCTGTTTGAGCCAGTCATTAACGCGCTGCTGGACAACGGCACCAGATACAACCTTCTCAACTCGGCCATCACTGAGCTCTTTGAGTTTATTAAAGTGGTGCGTGATCATGCAAGCTCGGTCTTGGTGAAAGTTGTTCTTTATATCTACAGAAAGTTTGATTTTTCTCCTCATCCTCCCAGGAGGACATCAAATCCCTCATAGCTCACATTGTGGATAACTTCTACAAAGCACTTGAATCCATCGAGTATGTTCAGACCTTCAAGGGGCTGAAAGGTCGATATGAGCAGGAAAAAGACCGCCAGAGCCAGAAACTCAACAGGTCAGTGGCCTCATCAGATGCATCAGAATTTAAGAATGCTTTGTTACTCAGATAGGATGAGGAACTTGATTCAGCTGATTCCCATATTCAGATATCGCAGAGATGCACGATCCTTGGACGAGGATGAGGAGTTATGGTTTAATGATGATGATGATGATGAAGATGGCGAGGCAGTGGAGAGGAGGATGGAGGATGATTTCCCTGATAGCTATGAGAAGTACATAGAAGCCAAAAAAGGTGATATTTTTAATGCAGCGTCTTAAAATGTTTGTTTTCCGCTCTGGGTTTTTATCACCGTTATCTTGTTACTGCAGGAGCTGCCAACGGAGCTAATGGTGCCAACGGCAGCAAGTCTGCCACGATCCCGCCTGCCTCTCCAGCACCCCCCCCGAACAACAGCTCCTCTTCCTCTGTCAAAACAGTTGCTCTTCCTGTGACGCCGGTCGTAAAGGTGACCTCTTCACTTGGGAGCTGAGGGAATCGTGATAACTCAAAACAAATCTGAACATGTTGTTTATCTGCTGTCTTTCAGACTGCTCTTGTTGGTTTGGTGGACTACCCTGATGATGAGGATGAAGAGGAGGAAGACGAGGAGGAAGAGCAAGCTCCACGAAAGCGACCCCGTCTGAGCTCTTAGACTAATGTCCTCTTATGTTTGGACTCAGTGGACAGACGATCAGTCCCCCTCTTCTGGTTGTCTCATTGGTCCACAGCCTGTCTGGACCGCCTCCCAGTCTCACCGAGGAGATGCGTGAAGATGAACTCTGCTCTTTGCTCCTTCTGAGAAAGGCGGTGGTGAACTTCTCTGGAAATCAGTCTATTTTTCAGGCTGTTGATTTATTTGTATTGTTTTTTTTTTTTTGTTTTTTTTTTTTTACACAGCTGATTCCCTAAGATCCCTGAATCTTTTCTTTCTTGATCAGAGAATTTCCTTCCTGGTAATCTCAGTTCCAAGGTGATTTTCTTTTTTAATCTCACCATATTGTTGCAACAGTAACAATAAATTAGTGGCGCAGCAGCGGCCTGCTACATCCTTTTTCCAAACTGAGCCAACGAGCACCAGAGGCAGAGGACTCCAAAACACGACCAGCCAGTGTAGAAACTGTTCAGCTGGCCATTCAGGCTAGCGGGACTAGCCGTCAAGGCGATGAACACCTTGACTGGCTGAAGCTGCTCTGGGTGTGTTCTACCCCAGCAGAGTTGGAAGGATCTAGAAAACAGAAGTATAAATATAAAGAGAAGGGAGGTGACAAAACAAACCTGGATGAACTGAGCTGTAACGATGCTTAGACCGAGTAGAGCAGGACTCAATCCTTTAAAGCCATGGCATCCGCTTGGCCACGGCACACAAAGTCTCACAGGATTGTGTACGCCACAAGTCTTGTATTTAAAGAGTTTGTTAAAGTATTGTACATAGTTTTTCCCCTTTTTAATTATTTTTCACTTGTGGTTCTGAAAAGAGGAGAGTGCCTGCCTGTTATTGGAGTTTTTTGTCAAAAGAAAGGTTGGGCGCTCTTTCACTCAGTCCAGTTCATTCGATTCTGTGTAACATGGCGAAAAAGGTTGCAAATGCTGGTTTTAACAATGAAACGACTGCAGTAAAGTCACTTTTGCAGCTAACATTTTGAGGATGTCTGGAGTTTTGTATTTTAGTCAATTTAAGAATTTAGTGTTATGATTTACACCCGATGACAGCTCATTTAGTTTTAACAGGGCGGTAGAGACAAGCTGTTGTGCTTTAAGTAGATTTAGAGCCCACTTTAGTCCCAGGAGGTCACGTCGCTCTGCTCTCAGACAGATCTCAGGTTTAGTTTAATTTCCAACCTCGTCCGTGCACTGTAACGTCATCAGCTCAGTTTGAAGGTTCCATCATCTCCACACCGCGGTGAGTTTAGTTCTGTAGAACGTGTCTGCAGCTCAAAAGAAGCTGAAGGAAAACTTGTGAAAAATGAAAGAATGGGTGAGCTGTTTTTATTAGTTGTGATTAAAAAATGATTTGGTGCTGCAGTTGAGGTGGTGCAAATTTTCTGTGTTGTCAAAACAGCAGGATGTTTTTCTTTGTCCTGAGCTCACCAAAAACACACAAAATCAGATGAAGGGATTCAAAACTAAATTCCAGTTCGCACTTAAGGCAGTAGAGTTGGAGCACAAGTAAAGTTGTTGCCAACGCTGAGCGGTGGAATGTCATTTCCTGTCTGTCGGCATCACCCAACGACTGTTTCTGCTCTCTGAATTTGTACCAAGTGCATTTACTACCACTATCCATATTCTTAACATTTGTATGATTTTATTAAGTTTTGAAATTAAATGTGACCCTGACATTGATTCAGTTTTGTTTTTATCAGCTCATTTCAATTCAAATGGTAGTTAGTGACTTAAAGGGCTATCTTTAGAAGATTGCAACAGCTGAGGTGTGACTGACTCGCCTCGAGTCGTTTAAACACCTAAAAGTCTGGAGATCAGGTTGTTTCTACAAAATGTGATTTATTAAAA